TCTACCTTTCTTCAGGTAAATGAACATTAAAAACTGCTAAAGTAGACATCAATGGTTGATTCTGTTTCCCTTTCCCCTCTTATTCCCTCTCCTCCTTTCTCTTTCTACAGTCTCAGTTTCTCTCTCTCTCTCTCTCTCTCTCTCTCTCTCTCTCTCTCTCTCTCTCTCTCTCTTATTTTGAATAGGATGGCACAATGGTAGCCAGCAAAAGAGAGGACAAGAAGCTACAGAACATTGAAAGATAGAAAGGGAAGAGAGTTCTTAGAGTTTGGAAACAGTGGCATCTAATGAGATGCTGAAAAGACGTTTGCCACTTTCTGGTGCTTAGCCATAACTCTCCCTTGTTCTACCATTGGATGGAATCCATCTGAATGTTCTCTACTTTTTCACAATGTATGGATGAAGTCTCATGTAAGTTCGCCTAGTTAAGAGCTTATTCAGCAATTAGGAAGTTAAAATTGCAGTGTTCTCTTATAAACCAAAACCAAGTAAATTAAAAGAGAATTTATATGGCAAAAAGATAAGGGATAATTAAATTAGAAAATAAAATTTAACTTCAAATGCATATTGTAATATGTCCTTTCCATACCAAATTTCTTTAAAACATTTAACTCTTTTATTATTTAGCAGAAAAGCTTCATGTTTATCTTGGAAAACTTAAATGCTTAAGAGTTCTTTCCAGTTAAAAACAAATCAGAAATTATTATAAAACACAGTTGAAGTTGTTGTATGAAGGCAAATTAAAATAAGAATCATTTAAAAAAAAAACAAAAACAATTTGCAAACAACCTTTTCCTTAGAAATGTGTATTTTTTATAAAGTCTTGTAAAATGGAAATTAGGCATCTGAAATGCATTTTCCCTTTTGTCTATAGAAAGGCCAGGAGGACCAATTCCAAAAGGAAATGCCTGGAATTCTGCTTGGTGTCATAATGCATATAGGTTACCATAATAAACTGCCTCCACCTTCTTTCAGGGTAGCAGAACAAACCAAAATTGTCTCCAGGGCTGTAAATCTAGGAATGATGTTCTAGAAGTGAACATGGAGAAAGCAACTGGAGTAAATGTTTTCTTAATGTTTGCCTTGGGGCGGGATGTTTTTTTCTTATTAGCTTACTGTTCCTAGTAAATATGAAATGCTTTATCTCTTTGTTTTATGAACTATTCTTATTTTGGTTGAGGTTCCTACTGTGAGGAAATTAAAAAAAAAAAAAAAAAGACCTGGCAGCAAATCAGAGAAAATGATCAGCTAGTGATGGATGTAAAGGGAGGGGTTAATATTGGGAGGAAGAGGATGAGAGAGTAGTAGAAAGATATGGTACCTTCCAGCCTTCTGTCCCCACCTTCCATGGGGCAGTCTGTTAAATGCCACAGAGGGTACTTTAACATGTGTCTTTCATTGTTGTTCCACTTTGCACACAGAAATAAATGTTGAGATCCTTAAAGGCATCAGATTAAGGCATTTACTCCCCAAACTTGACTGCTGTTGGGGAGGGGACGGTGACAATGGAAGGAGGTATGACTGGTTCACCCAGGTGCTACAAGAAGAGAGGCTCAGACAGAAATTAAAAAAAAAAAATGAAGACTATCTCTGAGAACCCAGAAACATTGTCATAATGGCTTATCAAGTTAATGTGTGGTAAACTATTAACAATTTTATAATTCAACCAAAGCTAAGAATCAGCTGATAAATAGGGTTGATACTTTTATTGCCCTTTGGTTAAGAGGAGATAAACAACCCTTGTTAATAGTAGGAATCTTTAGTCTCTGTTTCATTTGTTATACCAGTTTATATGGAGACATTTCCCTCTGGGTTTGTAAAGTCTTAAGCTTTGTATTTACTCCTGTCCAAGCAACTGATTCTAAATTATTACTTAGCGAGAATATATTCTGAAGGAAAAGTGAACCAGTTCCTTGACTGTTAGCCTCAGAACTACTGAATTTATAACAAAAGGAGAATATACAACAAATGCATATGGGGTCAGGATTGTTCTGAGTTGACTTGGCAATTTGGGGTAAATCTTTAGCTGAAGCCCAGCAGAATGGGTTAGTCTTGGTGCGGAGTCGTCTGTTGCGTGGGAAATGAGCCAGTTAAAGAATGACCTTTCAGGAAGAAGGAAGTTTAATATATTGATGTATAAGCAACTCCATCCTCCTGCCTCTTCCTTCCTAATTTACAGCCTTCTCTGACTGGTTTATAGGAGTCTTCAAAAAATGTGATTAGCTGTACTTGCAAGAAACTTGCAAGAGTTTCAGGGTAATGATGTGTCAGCTCTAAACTCATTCAGTTAATCTGAAGGAAAGTTTTTAGAGCAGGAGAGAGCCAGATTCAGAGATGCTGACTTGTGAAACATGGTGGTAACTGCATTTCCACCTGAAAGATCTTAAATTCTGGTTTCCTAATCTTGCAAAGGAAAGAAAGTAATGATGGCCAAAAAAGACTGAATATCAACATCAATAGCAACAAAAAAAAACAAGTACTTATTTGTACCCCCATGCCCAAGGTTCTCCTTTCTCATCAAAATTAGGAAACAAACAATATGATTTCACACAGAGCTTAGAAGGAAAATGGTGGCCGAGACCAGGGACTGAAGAAGGGTGGTAGGCAGAGGAAGCCATGTTGATTAGGAGCCATGCAAGCACAACACACTGTGGGGAAGAGCAGGGAGGGCTGGACCTGAAACTCACTGCAGACGGGATAGTCACATGCACCTGGGAACACAGATAAAGTGAAAATTGTTTATTTTTACTCATTCACTTTTTCATTGTGCCCTCACAGAACATCTATTAAATGCAATGCACTCTAAGGAACACAAAGTTATAGCAGCTGCTCTCCTCGCTAGTTACTAGTGTTGCAAAACAAATTAGCCTAAAACTTGGTAGTGTGCAACAATTATTTTTGATGCTCACCAATTATATGAGTCTGGAATTCACTTGATACAGCAAAGAAGTCTTGTATTTGCATAATGGTGTCTGGGTTCCTCAATGAGAAGATTCTGAGGCTGAGGCTAGAATCATATGAAGCTTGTTTACTCATTTGTCAAGTGGTTAGTGGTGGCTGTCAGCTGAACCCTTAGCTGGAGGATTGGCAAACATTCTTGTGCATGGTCTCTTCATGTGGCTTGTGCTTCCTCATACCATGGTGGCTATGTTCTAAGGGTGAGTGCTACGAGCAGACATCACATAACATCAATTCCACTGTACCACCTTGGTCATGATGGTCACATACCCTGCTGAAATTCAACTGGCGGAAACATCAATACCAGTGCAAATAAGTATGCTCAGTCACATTGAATGAGAACATATACATATGTGTGCACATATATACACATGTGCACACATATGTGTATATATGTATATATACACACATTTATGTCTGATTTACATATGAAGTCATAGAATGATATATATAGCCTCACCCTCCTGCATATGTATGGCCATATTTGAAAAATAGAATCTGTCACACTTAATAAGAGTGAAAGGGGAAACAAATATCATAGTACAAAAAATTTGGTTAAGTATTTTTTGGAATTATTTTGTGATGGCTCAAAGAACCATTCAATTGAAAATACATTGATAAAAAAATAATACCTGAGCCCTATGCTTTCCAAATGAGAATCCCTACATATTCCTCCCACTATGTTTACTATTTTCTTCTCACCATCTGTACCACTTTTCCTTAATTTTTTTTTTCCTAAAATTGGGGCAGTGAGGTTTTTTTTTTTTTTTTTTTAGCTCAAATTTGTTTTAAAAGTAAACTTTACGTTACTGAAGAAAATGAATTATATTTTTTATCCCGTATTTTATTTGCCATAAAGTGAAGTTTGCCTCAAACATAATCAAAGAAAAAAGAAGAGTAAGTAGATGTTGCTAGATTTGCTGCTTTTTGTTACAGGTTCTGAAACTGAAGCAAACCTGCTCTTTGTTGGGGAAAAAAAAATGTTAGGAAGTGTTTGAAGGAAGCTAAATCACACTCCTTCCAAATTAAGGCTTTTTCCTTGCCTTAATCTGAAACATGGAAAGAGAAGTAGAAGAAAATGATGCCTGGTGAGAAGGGCAGTGATATTTAAGGGCGGATCTTTGTACCACTCAAGACCCTTTAAAGAACTATCAATATTGTAGACCTACTTTTTTGGCAAACACTTTTCCCAGAATGATAAAAAATATTGATGCTGATGCTTTCATCTCACCTAAACCAAATTCCTGGGATCCATGGGGGAGACCAGCCCCTGACAGAGTCAATGCTTATTAATAAATGTATTTGAAATCCACCATTTCTCAAAGGCTGGGACCTTTACACCTCTGTGTGTGTTGATATTTTTCCCTTAGAAACACTTCCCTGAGAGAACCAGAGAGCAATAAAAGGCCTTGACTAGCTGGCTTCTATATGAAGCCTAACTACTCCATTATCTTATTACCATTCTCCACATGCTGGCAGAATTGACTGTTGGCTTCCCCGCTGTGGCATAACTAATGTTCCTAGGCTTTATAGGGTCACCCTAAGTCCAGATCCTGCAGGCCATCTTGCACTTTTTTAGTATGCAAGTATCTAAATCCTATAGCATTCAATCCTAAAATAATTATTCGCATTTGCAGGGGCAAGTGTTGCATTAGGCCCTAGGGATGTCAGAGACAAGAGATGAATGCATTTTTGAGTAGAGAGAAAGGTCATTGGGGGCTGCTATTTTACCCCTAAAATTTAATTACTTGCTTAGTAACCCCATTATCTTGTTGTTAGAGTTTTTAGTAGAAAACTCTACTTCCTAAGGTTTTCTCCCAGTGGAGATGATAACTCAAGAATACGTATAATTTTTATGGCCTCCTCTTCCTGGACCTTTTCTTTGTTTTTTTAACAACACAGAGAAAGTCTGTAGAGGTTACAAGGAAGACAAGAGCCAGATAATCATCGTCAGGGAATCCCCACTCTAGGACTTTCGACAATAGTCCTTTCCTAGGCATGGGGCCGGCATTAACAGACCTTTTTTTTTTCTCTATTTATAGTCATCTACTGTGAAGCTGTCAAAACCAGTGGCTCTATGGACCCAGCAGGATGTCTGCAAGTGGTTGAAGAAACATTGTCCGAATCAGTATCAGATCTACAGTGAGTCATTCAAACAGCATGACATAACTGGTAAAGTATGCAGTATTCGAGATATTTCAACACACACACACATACATACACATACACACACACACACACACACACACCCATAGCGTTACCAGGAAACAGTATCTTCCTGCTAAAATGTTCTGGCATGGGGTTACTCTAAAACGGTGATAGACTCCAGATTCACACAAACCATGACATTTAACAAACATAAATGGTTTTGAGGGGGAAACTGTGAATTTTGAGTGTCTAATATAAAAGTGCATTCAAGGTAAGGAACTGGGGGATCCTCAAGAAAAGAAAAGCAAACTATTCCTAGAGAAAAAAGGGAGTCCTCCAAAGCGACTTGCTTATAGGATTCCTATAAAGATCTAAGCAGGAAAGTTTTCCAGTTAGGAAAATCTTTATTTTTTTATTTCTATTGCTATTTTAGCTAAAGTTTATTGACTTTTCTTACTGGTGAGCTATTCTTGTGTATTCCATGATGTAGACGAGTCTATGGTGGAAAGTCACTTTTCCTATGATCTGGCCATCCAATTCCCTGAGGACCGTCCTCTGTGTCCACACCCTGAGATGTTCCAAGATTCTGAGTGAAAAATAATACTAATTCAGTGTCCCTCTGATAAATACCTTTAGGGGGACAAGGTAAAGCTTGGCTTAGATCAAGACTATTGGAGTATTATATAGGGGGGTTAAAAGGCACTTGAAGCATAAAACAGGACAGTACAGTGAATTGCAAGGACCCTTCAGACCAGTCTGTCAGTTGGGGGCTGAGATGGAGAAAGTACACCTCCCACCATGACAGTGGATTGGAGTTGGGGTTTTTTGCCAGGCCTCACCTGCCCCTGTGGCTCTACCTCCATCCCTTCATTCACAAACACTACAATGAAAGATAAGGCTGAGGAACACCACACTAAGGGCTTTGTGTGGAAGAAATGTTGAGAAATCTAAGTCTAGTACAGATCCTCCCTCTCTTTTGAGAGAAAATTGATGTCCCCATGGGAAAGTGACTTGCTGTGGAATATCTGAGCACTCCAGATTCCAAACCTTTTTTCAAACCCACCATCATGTACCTTGAGAAATCCTAACCCTTCTCCTTGCTCATTTACTCCTATTTTTTTTTTTTTTTGGTACCAGGGATTGAACTCAGGGGCACTTAACTACTGAGCCACATCCCCAGCTCTATTTTGTATCTTATTTAGAGACAGGGTCTCAATGAGTTGCTTAGCTACTCGCTGTTGCTGAGGCTGGCTTTGAACTCACGATTCTCCTGTCTCAGCATCCCCAGAGCTGCTGGCGTACTACAGGCATGCACCACTGTGCTCAGCACTTCTGTTGTTTTGAAAGGGACACTTTAGCAGAAAGTATTTCTTTTTGTAGTGTACTTCTTACCCTAGAGCAGGAATTAGTTGGTGGTTTTTAAGTGTGTTCCATGGAGCCCTTGATGGCCAAAGGAGATGGGCAGTGCTTTTGGGGCTGAGGTAGGTGTATCACTCAAACCCGTTCCCTTTACATCTGTTTTACATATTCCATTCATACAGAAAACTCAATTTGTAAAGAGGGTTCTAACACTAAATATTTTTTAAAAAGCTGAGCTAGATCATTTTAGATTTCTGCTTACCATGTTGACAATGACTGAATATACAAAGAACACCGTCAGGTGTAGCTTAAGCTGAGTTCACAAGCGAGTTAAATTCTCAAGTATTAAAGTGGTCCTTCATTGCACTTTTTGTCTCCCCTAAACTAGAGCTCATGAACTTTTGGGATGAGATTCCAGAAGTCCTGAAGGCAGTGAGGATGCTTAGTTTAGACTGCAGGTGTCTAGATTTCATTTTTTAGTTGTCCCCATAAGTGTATAGGAAAAGCCCACAGAGGGGTGGTTGTTCCACCGCACAAAATGAGCAGCCAGTCAGTAACAGTTTGACTGATTACAGACAGTGACTGCTTAATGTCCCTTAATGGTTGTGAGATAGTAATGGCAAAAAGCCTTTTCATGATCTTATTTGAAAGCAGAGCTGTCCCTCATTAGGGATGAGAATTACGAGGAAAGATAGGCTTCAGAACAGATGGAGGAAGGTAAGCCATACGCCCCTCAGGATTAAAGTTCTCATGCTTCTGGGCTTATGGGGTAAAAGGCCCACTTCCCCGGGCTCTGTGCCATGTGACATGAGAAAGGGACGAGGCCATGAGATGTGTGGTCAAACAGTTGTCGTTTTGCTATTGGTGGCACACTTGGTATCAGGAAACACCTCTGCTTTGGAGAAATTGCAGCTTCCTTGGGATCTTGAGCAAACTCTAACCTGGGCCAGTTGTTCAACCTCACTTCTTCATCTCCCAAATAAAGAGCATAATACTGTCTGTCTCAGAGAGTGGTCATGAAGGTTAAATGGAATAATAGAGCCAATCATGGATTTAGACCTCCTGCCTGAAGTCCTGTGCTGTCATTCATATCAAGTGTCATTTGGAGCTGTTGAAAAACACACCCTCACTTCATTCTGAGAGAAGCCTATTTTCTGGCAAGCAAAGAAAGCGAATTATTTGGGGACTTGGGGAACAGAGAGAATGAAATCAGATTAACATTTGGTCCACATCTGTTTGACCTTCATCTGTTGAAGTCCTCAGAATCCCACTCTCTTCCCCTGTTCTCTAGCCCCTGCCTCTCTTGGAATGAATTTAAAGTAAGAATGATTCTAAGTGCCAGGTGGTCAGAAGATGGCTTCTAGGACTTGAATCGGTGATTGCCAGCCCCATGATGCTAGAAGCAGTGGAAACCCCAGTGCCCTTGGAGGCTATGATAATAACCAGGGCAAAGTATCTGTGAAAGATCAATTTGTGGTGGGTGTGGTGGCACACACCTGTTAATCTCAGTGACTTGGGAGGCCGAGGAAGGAGCATCTCCAGGTCAAAGCCAGCCTCAGCAATTTATCAAGGTCCTTAGCAACTTGGTGAGACCTTGTCTCAAAATATGAAAAGGACTGGGGATGTGGCTTGGTGGTTAAGCACCCCTGGGTTCAACCCCCAGTACTAGAAAAAAAAATCAAGATGTACTGATAGAGCAAACCTCAAGACCACCTCAAGTGTCTGTACAGATCTAGAGTGACTCAGGGAGAGGACAGGGCAGTGGTTCCAAAGGTCAGATCCAAGCCCAGAGCTGCAACACACTGTGTGACTTTGTAAAGGCTGCTGTGTCACTTGTGCTTTCTTCAACTGTAAAAAGGAGATGATTATAGCACTTGCCTCAACATGGTTTTATGGAGGGAGTCCCTGGTTACCCCAAGCATACGGTGAGTACAAACTGCCGCTGTGCTTCTAAGTGCTGCCCTGACTCTGTGAAAACAACACAACACACAGAAGCAGTGTTGGATTCATCTAGCTGTTATCCTGATAATTGGGAAAGAGCACCTAAGGAGAAACAAAAGTCTGGGCTGGTAAATACCTTGTGCTAATCTGCAAGGCTGCAAACAAGAGCAATCGAGAGTCTCTTGTTTGTGCTGAGATTCTCCCAAGTGCTGCTGTTCATTTATTTTTCTTAAAGCAAGGATTTTCAGTATCATGCTCATTAGGGAAACATGTTATTTCAACATAACATAAACAGCCCTTGATTTAGAGGCAGATGGTCCAGTTATAGTAAATAAAAAGGACATATACTAAATGGAAAGAAGAAAAGACAGAGAAAGAGAAAGAAGAGAGAGATAGATGTTTTCTAATCATATGCCTGAGTCAAACCCTCCATTGCCTTTCACCCCAACCTCTAAGACACAGTAGCTGCATAATGTCTTGCAAGTTAGTTTCTCATCAGTAGAGTGAGAAGAATGTTTATCTTAAAAGGTTGTTGGGAAGATTAAACAGGATGACACGTGTGAAGGGCCTAGCTTAATGCTGACATTCTTCCATTTAGCAAGTATTTATGGGACCTCTCCAGGTACTAGGTTTAAGGAGTGAGTAAATAAGATTGTCAGTGATCCATGTAGAGAAAAAATTGTCCATGGAAAACCATGCATCATTGTCTGTATCACACCATCTTGTGTTATCTAACTGTGATTCTAGGGAGTTGCCTTACAATTATATAAGTTGTAGACTGACAGCAATACCGTAGTTCATCCCCCAATCCAGTTTTGTTTTGTTTTACAGGGTGGGAGGGGGTACGGGGGATTCAATTCAGGAGGAGCACTCTAGCACTAAGCCAAATCCCCAGCACTATTTTGTATTTTATTTAGAGACAGGGTCTCACTGAGTTGCTTAGCAAATCGCTGTTGCTGAGGCTGGCTTTGAACTCAAGATCCTCCTGCCTCAGCCTCCCAAGCCACTGGAATTACAGGCATGTGCCACCATGCCTGACACAGTTTTGCTTTTTGTAGTTTTAGTTATACATGATCAACTACAATCCATTTTACTGTTATTGATCTCTTACTGTGACTATAAATTAAACTTTATCCCAAGTATATTTGTGTAGGAAAAAAACATGTTATGTTTAGGGTTTGGTACCATCTGTGTTTTCAGGCATCTACAGAGTGGTCTTGGAACATATGTCCTGTAGGAAAGGAGAAACTATTCTACAACAAAATTCTTGTCTCTTGACATGTAAATTCTGTCCCACAGAGGTTTAGTTGACTTTCCTAGCCACTGCAGAATAGGTGAACTTTGCCTCCTGTTTGCAGATTGATTTCAGCTTTCCAGATCTTTAATTGTGTCTGCTGTTTGGATTCTCTCTTAAGCTAGGTGTAACATCATACCAGTTTCCTCATTAATGAGTTAAATCAAAATCTTAATTGCACATTCATTTGTATGAGGATCATCATTTTAACCTTTGTAGTTTAAAAAACAAGGTTGTATGTGTTTTTACAAAGATTTCCACTAGATTAACATTTTTCTTATGCTTTAATTCAAAGGACTTTAAATTCTAAACAAATTCCACCCACCCCCCCCACCACCACCAGATATATTTTAATCCACCCGTGTTCAAAACCTTTTGTAAATTTCCTATTAGAATTTCTGATTATTTCATTGTGTCCAGAGAGCACCTG